GGTGCAGCTCATGAATGCTGAGGTGGTGGGGCAGATGGAGTGTCCCATGGGAATACTTCCGGTCCACTTCTGGGTCCGCTGCTGAGCACACGGGGGACCCCCCCAGCTCGGCCGCTCTTTTGCACCCGGGTTCCCTCGCAGCCGATAACTGGGGGCGGGGTCCCCCCATATGCTTGGCGGTGGACAACACCACCCTCACCTGTGCACTCCTGTGGCACGCTCCATCCGCCCCACCATCTCGGCGTTCATGAGCACACCTGGTACCTCGAGGTACGTAGAAAAAGCATATAAAGCTGTGTCTATGGCCGAATTGTTGATTCTCTAAATCGGAATCAAATCTTCAGATTCGGCCAAATCGAATCAGGACAGTGATCTGAATCAGCAAATCGAATCATTGTCTCCCGAATTGGGCCAAATCCAAATCGAATACTGCCTGCTTTGCACACCCCATTGCTTTAGTGAATAGGCCAAACATGGATTTTTTTTTTCTGGAGTTATTCCCGGACTGCCCCTATGGTTGTGGTGGTAATTATAAACCTTCTTTGAAGCAGAGAGTACTGGTTTTTATTGGAGACTAGGTGACCTACCAGATTTTTTTGACAATTCCTTTGTTAACCTATTTCCAGAATGGCATTTGAAAATGAATAGCAACCAGTGGCAAGGCTTTTGTTTTCAAAGCATGCAGCATTAATTACATCCCTATAATGCTTCACCCAGCTTGAGCCATCCTGCATCAGCTGAAGTTCCTGAACACTGTCCAAGGGTAGCCCAAGTAGAGTGCATTGCAGTCATGTATCCTGGTGTTTACAAGGGTGCAGAATCCTGCAGTGAGAACGGCATCGGGAATAGGCACAGCCTCCAGGCCGGCTGTAGGTCAGAGGAAGGAGGAAAGCATTACATGCTACTGCTGTCGACTAAAAATGACAGGCCAGCAATGGATACCCTCGCTGGGGTAGGCTGGCTGTGCAAGATACCGTTCTGGCTTCAGACCAGTCCTTTGCCAGTCAGCATCTCCCTTTAGCACAGACTGAACCCAGATCAGTTTGATAAGAGGCTATTCAGGGGTGAAGATATTAATCTTCATAAAGTTTCTGTTCTTGCTTGAGAGATCCTGCTAGCGTGGAACTGCCCAATAATGGAAAGAGGGAAGAAGGTCTTTTGCAGCCTGGGCAGCTGTAAGATGGATTGGGAGCCTGAATGAATGTGAAAGAAAATTCTTGAGGAAGCTGCTGATAATTTGAAATGGACTGACTGAAATTTCTAATTAACTGTACTGTCCTGTTGGCACTCTCTTGGACTCCCACTTTATAACAGCCTTGAGCCCCTTTTATTCAGATAAGAGGGCAATAGCAATGATACAGTAACCTGAATCAGCTACTCTGTGCATTTCTGTATTTGCATGTAGCTGAAAATTGATTTTTATTTAAAACCATTTTTATGAAATCCATTATACAGAGATGCTCCTGTACCAGTTAGATAATGGCATCATAGATAAACTTCCTGGTTGAATATAAGATTATACTCACCAGTACATTCATAACTAATAATGGAATTTAGCTTATTTATCTTTCTTCTTCTTTTTTGAGTCAAGTACTTTCCATTGCTGGCATCACATTAAAAAACTACTGGATTAAATTTTTCATGCAAGCTCAAGATCATCAGACTGATCTTTGTAACAAAATCAACATGTATTCTAGCATTATTATTAAGAGTTATATTAAGTTCTTTTTTTTCCCTGAAGGAAATTGTTATTGAGATACAGTACTTGTAAAAACATCAGTGTAGGATGAATAGAAATGAGAAAAGAAGAAATCTGCTAATTGTAGGAGGCTGGGAAAATAAAGGAGACCAGACCTAGAAACAGAGAAATAAGGCTGGGAGGGACCTCAAGAGATCAATGTTAATTAAAAAATGTTGGGCAAGAAGTATATTTTCCATCTTTTTTTTTTTTCTTTTGTGGTATATTTGATGTTATAACTGCATAAAAACACCAAACACCTTGTGTTGGGGGGTGGTGGTTGGGACACTTTTTTTTTTCATTTAATTTATTTATAATTAGCATACAAGTCTCATGAATAGGGTTTTTATTGTTAGTTCAAGCACACTACCAGCTGATCTACAAGACTAGTCTTACTACATCCAGTAGTAATTATAGAGAATAATGTTTTATTCTGAATGTATACAAAAGCAACATAAAAGCTTGTTATAGAAAATACAGTTTTTATTCCACATTGTGACCAAATTTTGTGTTTCATTTTGTAGTACCCTCAACAATGTTATGATATTGTTCTCAGTGCTCTTTTCCAGAGGGATTCTGTATGTTTCAGTAATAAATCAAATGGAAAATAATATTTAATATAGTTTCCAGGAGAATCTACAGTTAATTTACTAAACATATCATTTTGAATCTCGAGATAATTGGCCGATAGGAGGTGAGAAGAACAACTATATTTGTCATATCCCATATCATTAGCAAATAAGTAATCTGTTGAAAGGGTGTTTCCCTGCTTGATAGTTTTGTGCATATACCTCACATTTTAATATTACTTTGTGCCATGTAGGGTGAGCTAGATATTTTTGGTTGTTATGGTTATTTAGATGATGCACCACCTAACTGGGACTTTATTATCCTGTCTCTGTATGGGGATGAGTCTGCTGAGGCTCCGCTTTGTTCGGGCCCTTAGCACCACTGTAATAATCATGATTATTAACACTAAGAAATAAAATAGAGCTGATATTTGTGGCTTTAGTGACAGTACTACTTATATTTCTCCCTTTCCTTTTTAATTGAAAATGAAGGGATTTTAGTACAGTTTCAAGTCCTAGTACTTCAAGCGTGACGTGGTTCTGGATAGCTGATTTTATTCATCAATATAGGGTAACAGGCATCTGTTAACTTCTTCAGATGAATCCTAATTTATTGTCCTGAAATCCCTGAATCTTTACTTCTAGGGGTAGTACATATTGATCTGTGAAATGAAAAAAAATCTATCTTACAAATATTCTATATGCTCTGGGCATAAATAAACAGAAATAGCTCTAATTTGATAGCAAACTTAAAATTCACATTTTTAAAAGGGATCTTGTCAACTTGAAACCTAATGATATTTTTAAAAGAGCTAAAAACATTTTTGGATACTTTATTTTTATCTGCATACATTTTGAAGGAATGGGATTTTTGTTTAACTTTCTTTCATGAAGGTTCTACACAAACAGAACGTGCTTTATACAGAGTGCTTTTAGAGGTCTAAATGACTTAGAAAATCTCAGTTTAATTTATTTAGCATAGTTCTGACAAAAAGAAAGTTGAAATAGAAGTCATGTCTTTCTGAATTGTTATCCCTTACAATTATCATTTTTGAAGAAAGTGGAGGAGGAGGATGTTGGAATAAAAAACTCTTTTATTCATGGAAGAGTTAAAAACATGAATAGGTGTATGACAGAGTAATGTTCAGTGATCTCTGCTGCTGGTCAAAGCAGCTCATACATTCTTGCCAACAATTTTAGATTTTATTCTCCATAAGCCTGAAACCATAGTTTTTACTGGTCTAATACAGGTAGAGTTTTTTTCCCCCACATCTAAGTAACTTTAGAGGTTCCTTAGTCAACACAAGTAGCACTTTTCGATATTAGACAGTCTTCTACCTACAACATCAGAAATGAAGAACAAGCTTGGTGTTTGGCTCTGTTGCAAAAGTCCAACCAGTGTGCTTCCCGTTACTGGCTCCCAGACAGCCACTCTAATTAAAACACCTCAGCATCATGTGTATTCAGTATCCCACGTTGCAAAATGGCTGCAGGGGTGCTTTAACTAAAGCTTGTTTGGCCGGTTTCAGTTGCCACCACTTTGAAATACAGGGTACTGAATACACATGATGGTGAAGCACACTGGAGGTTCCAGTTAGATTAATTGAGTCTGCTTGTATAGGCATCCCTAGTGACCTAGAGGCAGTTCAGTGATAGCTAATCCCATTCTCTAATTACGTTTACGTGATGTTACACTTGAATAGATAATACATGTATTTTGGTGCAGAGTATGAACTTCTGAAGGCTCAGTGTAGAAAGCTGTTTTCCTCTTGTGTTGCCAGTGTGGAAGTGTCCACATTTCAGTCCAGGTTCATTTGAGATCTTGGTTGCAGTGTTCACAAGGAGCCTGAAGAGTAAAAAGGCATGACAGAGAGGATGCAAGAGGTCTGGATTGAAGTACTTACCTGCACCGTTTTTGAGTTTCCACTTTTGTTCTTAGTGAGGGCTTCAGTTTTCAGTGGTGTCTATCTGGCATCTCTTACGAGCAATTTTTTTTAATACCTTCTGATTAGAAATGTTCAGCGGATGTAGACACAGAATAGCATAACTTGCACGAGAGGAATGAGGGCAGGGGGCTCAGATTCTGAGAAACGGCTTTTGGCTGGAATATTCCGAGATTACAGCAGTTAGATTCCCAGCTCCTATTTAATTTCAGTGGAAATTGAGCATTTCATTCCTTCTAGCTCCCTGGGAAATCCCTGGTAAGGTTATTTCAACATTATGACAACTACTACTAATTTAACTCTCAGCAAGTCTATAGCAGCTAGGCCCCCTCATATCTTTTTGCTGCCAGAGCTATTCTAGTTCCCCTGAATATTTCAGTGAAAGTTGCTGAGTGTTTTCTGGCAGAGAGTTTGGGCATGGGGGGTGAGTTTTTTCACACCCCTAACCAACGTAACAATGTCAGCAGTATTTTGTTAGATAGGGAGAGCTAAGAGTTAATGACCTTGCAGCATAATCTCTATGGGGTTTGAGGAGGGGTGGGGAGGATTGTTGTTGTTTTTAATGTACAAGAGGCAAACAGTATTTTCAGTCTGAAAATGTAAAGTAAACCACCACTGAAGAGGAAAATGCTCACAGTAATCATTTAACATGCGACTTCCGTTAAGTAAATGAGGAAGGATTTATTTTTGGAGCATTAAGTACCTTTTTGCATGTTTTTTATCTAAATTATTGTTTTCTCTTTCTAACAGGTCACCGACAAAAGTTGGGTCCCATATATTAAAGGTGCGTCTTTTAATATACCCTTTAAACATCTGTCAAGCCATAAATATAATGAAATTAAGTCCTTGATGTTGAGTCATCCTATTTTACCATAGCAGTCTAATTAGGTAGAAAACAGCAAATTAAGAACCTCCTCCGCATCAAACTTTCCTAGCCATGGATTTTTTTTTTCTTTTTTACACCTTTTATGAAGATGAAACTTTTGTTCTTTTTCTGAAAATATAGGTGAACTAATATACTTTGATTTGAGGGGTCATACATTTGTGTTCTTAATTGCATCTGCCATGTGTTCCCCTGGTTAAGTTGTGTGGAGTTACTGGCCCCATCCTTTTGTCGTGTTACAGAAGTATACGTGAACAAGTACAGGGAAATATTTGCAGTTTTGTTTATCTTGACGATTGATTTATTTCAGATCATCGATTTTGTTCTTCCCTTCTGTCACTAAAATAACAATAGAAATTTTAGGAAAGTGTTCATGCTTTAAAAGCTACTGCTTTAGGTTACATGAAACCAAAGCACTAAATTTAGCTTATCGAAGCAGCATCACTGCTTCCCACACAGATAATTAGTATGCTGCATCTATGCACAGTGATAACACAGCTGAATCTCTGACATGTACTAAGTAGTTCAGGTGTTGGTACCAGTATATTTGCAGATGAATTCATGATATGGCTTGGGAGAAGGGCCAAAGATTATGCCATCATCTTTTAAAGGGATAAAGGAATCCTAGCATTATGTCCCAGAGCGTTATGCAATTGGCGATGGAAGAGGCAGCAAATAAGTTGCCACAGCTACTGTGTGTCTGTGTTGGATCTGTAGTGCCAGGCTTTAGAAAGAGAAAGTTCAGTGTCTTTAATACTAGCATTGCACTTGTAGATTTCTCACTGAGGTATTGAGATTAAAGAGGATATTCCTTGATGATGAAGTGTTAAATGTTTGAACTTGTTAATAGGGCTTTTTTCCTCAAATCCAAGGTGAGGTTCCTCCTTCTCCCCGCACCCCATTTATCATGGGGAGGCTTGGGCAAGAGAAAGCCCTCTGTCATGGATTTGAGTACAAGATGGGAGGAGGTTGGGGTGATGGGACTGCTGGAGCTCCGACTCCAGCCTCAACCCAGGCTTTGTGTTGGAGTTGCATCCTCTCTCTTTGCCTCCTCCCCCTCTACCGCCCCCACCACTGGGGTAGGCATGGGGGGGCGGGGGGTGGACATCAGGGCATACAGTCATCGGGGGGGATGACACGGGGATGGGATGACGCACAGGCAGCAAGGGCCAAAGGTCTGGCCATTTACCTCCCCCTACCACCTGCCCCTCTGCAGGGTGGTGGGTGGGGGTAACAAATTTAAGATGTCCCTCCAATAATTAAGTTCTGTACATGGGAAATTAAAACAAGTTTATGAATTTTTCTATATATAAAATCTAGTTATTGGAGGGTCACATTAAATTCAAAGTTGTCTTGTATTTGGGTAAATGTAGCTCCATGTTTATCCTAACTAAAATTAGCACATGTTGAAATAGATTCAGTTGGATTTATGTAGCCTTGACTCAGCTGAGAAATTTTAGTTGTAATCTAGTCTTTTTATTGTATATATTCTCTAGATGCTGTTGCTTAATTGCTAATAAGGTTCTCAGTTTTACACATTTTCATTATGAGGTACTTTTCTAAATCTCTTCACCTTCAAAAATCAGCTTTGGAAAACACAGTGCTGTTCTCTTCTCTGCTTGGCACCATATCAGTTCATTAAACTTGTGACTAACAGTAGTGTGTGCCTTGGAGGAGTCTGAACTTTTTCACAAGTTCGAAGTCTAACAGGTGTGTTAAGGTCAACAAGTGAAAATTTAAAAAAAGGGAGGGGGGCTTGTTTCTATAGTGGTTATTGCTGTGAGTTTTTATCAGTGTGTACTATTTTGTCACTTTGTCAGTACACCTTTGAAGAACACCTTGGCTTAAAATGAGTAATTAGTTTGTTAATGGAGGTTTAGTTCACGAAGGTGCCTAAACAACACTGGTGTTGTTGCAGTGTGTGTTAGTACAGATTCCTGGGCTGAGATTTGCAAAAATGAATGCCTCAAGATAAGCTGTCCAAAGTAAATTGGATCCCTCTGACTTCCACTGGGCTCTGCTGGAAGCTGGGCTTTCCTGAAAATTAGCAAAGCTAATTTGCATATCTTATTGTGTATTCAGGTTCCTGCAATTTAGGGCTCCCACTTTTTGGAAACTTGCCTTGTTAACCCCTCCCTCTCCTCCCCATTTACAGTTGTGCATTGTGTTGCAGTCCCTACATTCATCATTAGGCCACAAAAATGTTGATGTCTAGTTTTAATTGTGCCTGATCCATGATTTTATTACAGACTAAACTTCTTTCTGTATTGGCATAAAAAGATTTTGGTCTTATACTAATTGCTTCCCAGTGCTGGTATGGCTTAATATGCTAATTAGTGTAGAAAAAATAAAACTGCTTATACAGTCATACTAGAAAAGTCACCCTTTGAAATCTTAGCAAGACAAGTGCAGGCTGGCAGAGTAGAGGGCCTGGGCCTCGCTTGGTAAACAGTAACTCTTCAGGTGCTCTAAAATATGAAGTGTATGTGTATCACCTGGAATGTCTTCAGAAATGCAGTAAGACGTATGAGATGGGGAAGGGGGGGGAGGTGGAGAGAACTTTTCACTTCCGATCAAATCAAAATCTCCCCGGCTTAAACAAGAACTGCCGTTTCCTGTTGAGTCAAGTCAGAACTGCAAAGTGCTGATGAAGTTAAGCCCTTAAGTGAATTGCAATAACTCGTGTGTATTAAATGCTTCTCCAGGTTGAAATTATTTCTGATTTCCAGTGTAACTCTTTGCTTTTATCACTGCTGAGCACTTCAGTGTCATGTTAAATATTTCAATCTCCATTAAGAAAAAACAGTTCCTTTTGATGTGATTTTGTTTTTGTTATAGTAAAAGTGCACGGCTGCCAGTTAAGTTGGGATAACACCTAGAAATAGAATTAACTGTAGTTGCTTGACCTAACTAAAATGGTTGATATTTTAGAATTACGTTCCAGAGATTTGCTGCATTATGTTGGCATATGGATGATGATTCAGTCTTCACAGTTGGATGGATTGCTTTTGAAATTAGTTTTTGCATGGAGGGAATATTCTCGAGCTTTAAGACATCTAATAGCTTATACTGGGGTAAAGTGAAGTTGCCAGTTGAAACTTCCTAGTGTTGAACACACAAAAAGCACTAAGTTTGGAAGTGCATTTAATACACTTAATTTGAAACTCCACTCTGTCAGTTTGCACTGCTCTTGCAGGGATCACGGGCAGTTCATTGCTAAGATTTATGCCACATGCAGAGCAGGGTAGACAAGTTGCTGTTATAGAGACAATTGGAGCTTGATGGTTTAGGTCTCTCTTGGGAAGTAGGAAGGCTGGCTTGAGCCCTTTCAGGAAGTGGGGAGCCTAGAACTCAGGTCTCCTGCTTTCTGGTGATGGCTCTACCCACTAATTCACTATGTAATAAGATGGGCACTGCCTGTTTCAGCCGTGCTTTTGGGGAAAGAAGGTATTTTGGCTACTGGTAAGGCATATTAGGTATGATGTGACCATACCCACCAGATCAGGCCCTTACAGGGTCTTGGGTGGAAGTTAGGCACTACTCCGTCTTGTTTCTGGATAGTGATGAAGCTTAGGCTGGAACCAGGCTGTTAGCTGTATAGTCTGGGGTGCTTCCACTTATACATGGAAGCCTAGGTTTAGATGCATAAACTTTCTGGGTCAAAGTGTATAGACTGAAGGAATTTGTGCCTAATGGGTTTCGCAGGGTCTTTCTGGAATCCTTTTTTTTTGGCCTCAGCAAGCAGAATTTTATCTCCTAAGTCGCATTTCAGGTGCCCAATGTTCTGATTTCTGTGTAGAATCAAGTAGATGGTAGAAAGTTCCCGTGCAATGGGGAGAGATCTGCTTCAGTTCTCCCCTATAAGAACAGGAGCAGAACAGAAATCCACTGAAATTAAACTGCTTTTTATTGTTCAGAGTAGTGTATATTTGTTTCCTTGACTGATGCCAGTATAAAATATTCTTTCTAATGCCATTTATAAAGTACTACAGGCTCTCAGCATGCAGCTATAAGAAAGCCTTCAGGGTCACAAAATTGTTTGCCCTCTAGCATATTTGATTCTGTGCTACATTGTACTGTTCCTAAATTATCTTTCCTGAAATTCCTTAAATTCCTGGTGACAAATTTCTTATTACATTCCCATATTTTACAGGATACAGACAGCAGTATACACAAAGTCGAAAATGATGTCTTAATACAAGAAGTGAAACAAGATGACTCTAAAGAGGTTAGTTAAATACCTTTATAGAGATATGTGTAATACCTAAACTTTAATTTTCTAGCTTACTGACATTTTAAAATCAAAAGTTAATGTTTCTAGCCAATATATTGAAAAATTAAGCAATGCTGGTTAGAAAATAAACACAAAGATTTTTAGAAACTTATTTCTTGTTAACAGAAGAGACACGGGGCATGTTTACACATTCATTAATGCACTTTTGCTAGCACACATTAAGTTTAGTACCTCCGTTGTGAGGCACTAGAAAGAATCTCATTAGCCTATATTAATGTGCATTAACAAAAGTTTGCAGGTTGTTTTGGTTACAGGGTGTAGGTTGTAGCCGTGTTGGTCTAAGCACATAGGCAGACAAGGTTCTTTGGGTGAATCTGATATCTACTGTTAGACCAACTTAAATAGTTGGACAAAAAATGTTAAGCAAGTTTTTGGGTTTAAAAACCCTTAGTCAGGCTGCGGAAGTTTCTGCAGTTGGTGTGTGCTCTTGCTGGATGGAATGAAAAGTAATGAAGCCAGAGGCTGGGCTGGTTTTTTTGTGACACTTTAATTTGCATTAAAATAGGCTAATGTGCATTAAAGTGCACTTGTAGATGCACCCACATTTAAGCAAAGATTCAAGATTCATGGCTGCTAAAACACCTTGTTAATTTACAACATTGTAAAATACTCAAAAAGATAACCATTTTTTCCCTCTTTAAACCAGTCTTGTCTCTTTAAAATACCAACAAAAAAAAATGTCAACTAGAACTAAAATATTTACTTTCAAGCCATGCTAAAAAGCAAGGAAATATAACTGAGCTGAAAAAATTGCTTGTTTCTATTACCATTCAAATGGATTTATTTTGGGGCTTATCTCTTAGCTCAATAGCCTTGTTTCAACAGCACTGGAAATAATAATTCTTTTTGTATGTGCTTGTTCTCATCGTAAAGGAAAGCAGTTTTTTCCAGCAAACCTAAGATTTTTTTCCTATGCCACTCCATTTATTCATGTATTAGATGGCAAGTAGTGCTTTCTGCATGCTTATGTGACACACAAGTATAAATATTTTTATTTCTTTGGTTTTAGATTATTGACAGTATTATAGAAGAAAGCCAAAAGGTACAACAGCTAGATGATGATCATTTGGTTTCCAAAGGAAAAGAACTAAATCAAACTTCAGATACGAGCACTTGGATTTCTGGAGCAGATATCCTTAGTAATATACCAGAACTATTAGCTGCAAAAAATGCGTTACAAGAAGATACTCAAGAGCCTGTGGATCAGAGCGAGTGTAAGGAAACTGAACTTGAATCCGGGAAACTTTTGCTTTCTTCTGATCATCCCTTTGAGCAACAAGAAGGTGAAACCACTAATAAACTCGCAGAAATAATAAACTCAGCTGAAGAACTTAAAAATGCTGAAACAGAAACAGCAGAAGAACTATCTCAAAATGAGGAAATAACTGAAGTAAAACAGACAGATACTTTAGAACAGGTGGCTTCAGATTGCTTACCTACCAAAGATCTTGCTACAACAGAAGAATTGCCTCCAGCCAAACCCCGCAGGCAGCTTACTGTAGAACCTGACATAGTTGCTAGCACGAAGAAACCAGTTCCAGCACGGCCCCCACCACCAGCAAATGTTCCTCCTCCAAGACCACCACCACCAGCACGGCCTGCTCCACCCCCACGGAAGAAAAAGAGTGAACTGGACTTTGAGGTGCAAAAATCATCTGGTTTAGATGGTAAGTATTCACATTAAGGTGCTCTCTAGTTTAATCCAGCAGCCTCTTATCGGTGCAGTTATCCTTTTTCTGCTTTTTACTAAAGCCATCGGTTGTTCAACTTAATGACTTTTCTGTGCTTGTATTAAATGCACTCAACTGAACAATCACAGTCGAATTTTAAAAGTACTGACAATTTAGGAACACAAGTCCCATTTAAATCATCAGTAGAGCTGGTCCTTGTTAACTCATATAGGTGTTAAAATAAAAATCCCGTTCCATGCTTCTTACAGAATTTCACCTTTGTGTTTGTTATATGGTAGAAAGTGAAGGAAAGGATATTTTCAGTCTTGTAATTTCACTGTGCACATTTGTAGCATATTGTGATCAGTGTCACTATTTTCTGTGTTTGGCTGTTCCCGTGATGATCTCTTGTGCAGCAGCAGGAGGCTAAAAGGTTTTTGTTTTGCCCTTTTTTAAAGCAATTATAAAGCTACAAAATGGCATTGACTCAAAGTATTTTTAATTGACTAAATCTTCAGAACTTGGGTATGTATTTATATTAGATTTTTTTAAATATCTAACATACTTATGACTTCAGTATTTACCTGAGTTTTGTACCTACAGGATATGCTTACTAACCTTGACTGCAGCTGTGCATCTGTTATACCAGTTTATGCTAAGTAACAATAGTGTTCTGCTGCAATTGGAATTGCTCAACAGGAGTAAGAACGGTCAATCTAAAATGGTATCCAGTTCACAAAAACTGCATAAACGAGCCTTTGGAGTTAGATTTCTGATGCAGTCTCTTTCAAAAATAAGCATTAAGTAGAACAAGAAGCTTCTTCCTTGATCTTATGTATCCTTTCTTTTCCCCAAATCTGTTTTTAGGGTCCCTCATATTTATAGTTCTGGCTTATGCTACCCTATTCATAAAGCATACGCTGTGAGATGTATGTTTTAAAGGTGGTGGTATTAGTCATGTGCTTTCATCTGCCATTAGTTCCAGTAACTCTTTTCTGTAAGTTTGATGTTTAAGCAGGGTACCTAGGTGGTGAAGTGTTTTTTTCGGAGGAAAGCTAACCTTCACTCCAGTAAACGGGGAAATTGCGTAAGAATCAGCATGTCACAAATCCAAATGTATAGTCCAATTTCTGTGTGTGTGTGTGTGTGTATGTATATATACATATAATATTTATTTTTAAATGAAGAGGAGATGCTGAGGCTTTAATGCGGTAACTGTATAATTATAGCTACAGATTATTTCTTTTTTCTACTGCTGTTCAAAATTTTAGAAGACCTTTGAAAGGTTGTACCATAAATCTTTATTTTCAGAGAAGTAGCCTTGTAATAAATCTTTCTTAGGTTCAAATTGGTGTGTCCAAGCTTGCCAAGTAAAAATACTTTTAACAAGCACCGTGTTTACAAACGTAGGTTTGTAAGAGAGCTTGCAGAAATTTCTGTAACATACAGGGCTTTATTTTTTCCTTCTAGAATAAGAGAATTAAACATAGCAAAGGCTAGAAACTCAATCCTTCAGTGACACAGATGTTTTGCTTGATCAGTTGACTGCGGAGACCTGTCTTTTTGTAAGATCTTAGCTTCCAACTTGTCCAAGTTTATTTGACTTACTGGGATAAAGGGGTGCTGGTCACAGCCGGAAGTGAAAGGCACCTGGACTGTGTGTGGGTAGCCATAACATATCCTTCAAAATGGGGCAGAGGAGTGCCCTGCATCTGGCAGGGTTTGTAAAAGAGACTTTGGGGTGGCAATGAATGAATGTGGTGGCAGTTAGTGGAGAACCAAAATGGGTTATCACATCTGTTGGTGCTGGAGATGTAAAGGGAACCAGAAAGGCAGCAAGCTGGTGGTGGAATACAGAAGATCCTTTCTGCCCATATCGCTTAGGACTGCCAGGAGCAGTGCACAACATAATTATGACCACAGGTATTTCCCCAGAGGTGGCTGTCACACACTGGCCAGTTCTCAAATTCTTCTGCACGCACAGATGGGGCCTTTATATAATGTGGAACCACTGGGCAGCAGAATGTTATTGTATTAGCATTTTTTTATTGTGTTGGGGAAGTGATATGATTTTTCTTTTAAGTGAACCCACCGGGGAGTTTACCTAAGAAAGTTAGAATCGGGGAGCTAAAAAGAACAGCTTTGTAATCAATTTACTTCTGCCTGCTGGGAAATGTTGGTTATTCTTACGTTTTGGGAAATGTTTTGTGAATGGGAATTGGTACAGTCTTGATGTGACATCATGTAAGAACGTATGTGAGAGAGCGTTCCAGAGAAGTAGCTTGAAATGCAGTAAGAAAACACAGGACTAAATTGTGGCCTAAATACAGCACTGTTGCAGGTGAGCATGTCTTAAAAAATGTTTAAAAGCCACAAAGAAAACAAGGGTCACCCTATTGTTGAGAGTAACATTTTGGTCAAGTCATGTCAGAACATTTTCCCTTCAGACTGTAGTCATGCTGAAATTATCCCCCACATAGTAAATATTTTTTTTCCCATTGTATTAAAAAGCCTTGTTTTATTGTTCCACCAAAGCATAGTTCAAATAAGTGCTAGCAAAGTCTTGTGCAAAGTATAGAGCAATGAACTGTGTCCATGCATTACCGAGTGGATGAAGCAACCTGGCCTGCAGATCCCAACAGAATGATGCACAGTCTATATCTCCAGCCTACACGAGTTAACAAAAATGAGTGTTACTGGGACCGAGAAACTTCACTTTGGGCATATTCCTTCCCCCAACCTGTCCCAGTTTTGTGCATGGGGGAAATGTTCATGAAATATAAAATTTGCAGTTTGGATTATCAGCAGAACATATTTTATCAACTAATATAACTTTGATTAAATGGTCAGTTTGGGGGGATTAGAATCAAGTGCACTGCACCTTTTTGTGATTATCTTCCTAGCAACACATACTACTTCTTAACAAGAAGTCTCTTTGCAGTTTCTAGAGAGAATTTTACAACTGGTGGTCTGTTAGCTCCAAGTACAGGGGCAGAGTGCATGACCAAAGATTCCCAGCCTTCTTTGGATCTGGCAAGTGCAACTAGTGGAGATAAAATAGTTACTGCACAGGTAAATAAACTATTATTAATCTGTATTTTTGTATCCGCTGAAAAACCTGCTAATGTATCAGGACTCCATTGTGCCAAGCACTGTGCACTCGCAATAAAAAAATGGCCTCTGCCTCAAAGCACTTGTGAACTAAGTCTTTTTTAAGACTGTTTATTAAAGAATTTTAACTTTTCTATGGCACTAGGTCATTTAAACGGTCACTTCCATACTGTAAATTATGGGAAACTATGTGTGTTTGTGTGCATATGTGGTGCGTTCAAAACCTAATGCAGGAAAGTTCATAAATAAGGTGATATCACCGACAGGAGAGAGAGCATTTCACGAGGATCTGGTCTCCTAGAGTTGACTACAGACAATAGCAAGCTTAAGTGCTTTCAATTCTTTCCTCTCCAGCCTCTCGAATCCACTCACCTGCATCTGTTCCAGTTCTCTCAGGATGGCCCAATACAAAAGAAAGAATTGATCAGTCTCTGAGCGCTTCTCTCATCTGAATATTATTACTTTCAGTCTCTCAGTCCACCTTTTTTCATTTGATTCTATGGTGGCTTTTAAGAAGTCCCTTGGCATCCAAATTGTGGCCAGGTTCCTCCCTGGTATTAAATACACTGTAGTCTTGTGAATTAGTTGGGTACGTAATTTTCATAGAAAATGGGAGCTGGAAAGAAACTCACTTATTCCAGCTCAGAGGTAACTGTGCACACAGAGAGGAAAGCTATTTAGAATATGTGGGAAGTGACAAGAGGGATCATGAGATCCAGAAGTGTTGCACACCCACAGGTGCTCAGCACTTATGAAAAGCAGCAGAGTAGGTTTTAAATATTGTGTTCAGTTGTCCATCTGTTTTGTCATTCAGAGTTTTTTTGATTTCAGAATACTCAAAACTTTTTATTTATAAATGTATCTACTTGTATTGGAAAATGGGTATAATCATTTTCTAGAAATCTCGTTGGTACGGTCATTGTTACTTTCCAATACTGGAATTACAATGAAATTAATGTGTTTTATATAAATAAAACTACAGGAAAATGGGAAAGCAGGCGATGGAGAAACAATTACAAATGAAGTGCTTGGACCACAGCGACCCAGATCTAATTCGGGAAGAGAACTCACGGACGAGGTATGAATGGGACTTTGGGGCATAACGCCTCCTCAAACCGGAAAAAAAATCAAGCACAAGTTGAGAGCGGATCAGCCTCCGTACATTGTTGAGCTATGATATACTGTGGTGAAACATGAGAAGTCACATTTACCTGTGTGCTTACCTTGTCACTCATGGCCAGGTTTGAATGCCGCTGGGGGTAGTGAAGTGGAATTCAGGAGTGTTTGGTTGTGTTTACCCTAGGAGTTACTATAGTTACTTATAACTTCAGGTTTTTTTGTGTGTATTGTTGGCATCCAGTCGTTATCAAATTCCTCTTCACCCGTAAGTCAAAAGCTGTCTTGCTGTCAGGATGGCATTCTTAATTTTCAGTGTATTTCCTCTTCCTCTTTGTTTCTTCTGCCATAGTACCTTAACATGGTACTACTGGGCGCCTATACACAAGCAGCAAGACTTCTAACACACTGTAATTGCAGACTTGATTAATCAAGTCTGCTGGAGCATGGCAATTACTACGCTCCAGCAGCCTCCCGTGTCTCATGTATCAGCATCCCTGCACTTTAAAATGCGGCGGGGCACTTTATCTAAAGCTTGTTCGACAAACATTAGATAAGGTTCCCCCACCGCCATTTTGATGGTACACTGATACACAAGATGCTCCAGACACGTCAATTAGAGCAGCTCTTGAGGAATCAGTAAGCATGTGCATAAACGCTTCCTATTCCTCTCTTTCAAATACGCCTTCTGCATTCTCTCATGAATGTAGAAAAATGAGTGGAAATTTTAGCAAGCTTTTTTTTGCCAGACATGTAGAAAGAAGGGGAAGGAGAGAATGGAACACTTCTCTGGTGTTATGAAGAAATAGGTATATTAACAAATGAAAGTAGGGGTATGACTTAGCCATCTGATCTTATTTTTGCCCTAGTCAGGTGGTAGGCAGAAACACTACATGAGTCCTGCTCAAGGCAAAATCATTCTATCCCAGTGTCCCATAAGTGAACAGAGGTGTTAGTGGGCAGTTTACTAAATTATACTTTTATTCTTTTTGGATATGAAGTATGAAAGAGGGCCTTTAGATTTATGGCATCTACATCTACTCCTCTCCATCGAGTTTTCAAGTGTATAGCAATGCTAATTAGGACAGTATCAGTTTCCAAATATCGATTAGAGAATTTGAAAGTAGTCGAATTTGTTAGAATGTTGTAAAGCAGCAGACAAACTCTCTGCTCTGCAGTTATGTTTAAAACTTCTGTTTTGCATATATAAAAATGTAATTCTGCTTGCATTAGCTGGAATATTTTCATAAGTGTCTTAAATTTCTTTTCAACTCAAGACTGTGTTTAAAAACATTGCTCCGGTGATGTAGTAGTTCAAAACATTGCATCGTGTAGAACTGACTACAACAAGTTCACACGGTCATGTTTTGTATTACAGATCAGTTGGTTATGCTTAAGAACATTTTTTTTTTAAATCTAGGTCTTGAACTTCATGGAAGCCTTGCTAATATCAGGCATTCTGTGTTGTTATCACTGCAGGAAATTCTCGCCAGTGTAATGATAAAGAACCTTGATACAGGTGAAGAAATACCTTTGAGCTTGGCAGAAGAAAAGTTGCCCACAGGCATTAATCCCCTGACTTTACATATCATGAGGAGAACTAAGGAATATGTCAGGTATGAGTGAAAATAACATTTAATTTCTCCTTGGTACCCTGGGATGCTTTACTGTGAGCCTGTTCTATCATTGCTCTTTTGTTTTTGCAGTCATTTTGTTTCAAGCCTTTTTAACAGAAATGAGGAAGTATGTTTCAGTCCGTTTGTTTGACGTGTGTTTAACCTGAGTGCCATTGCCTGGTTCTTCCTAACATTGCCATACTCAGGCCATGGCAATAGGAACGAGCTGCACTTGGACAGGGAACTGTCCAGCAAAAGTCCAGCTGGTTACTGTGTTGGTGCACCTAAATGCAAACAAAGATGCCCCAGGAAAGAACTGCCCTGGATTGGAAACAAAGTAAAATTACCTGGGTTAATGTAGAGTTACCTCAGTTCAAGGGGTTGTACTGATGGCCAGTTGTGGCTTTTCTCCCCACCTTGGGCCAAGTGAAGTTGCAGGTGGTCAGGTGTCTAAAAATCAGCCAAGTGGGGGGGGGGTGTGCGCGCGCGCGCGCATGCCCAGAAAAAACCCATCATCCACTGGCTAACACATCCTTTGCACATTTTTAGAGCACACTTAATATTTATCTTTTCACAAATTTGTTTTAACAACTTTTTAGGCATATGATACTATAATATAAGCAGCATTTAACTCGGGTTATTGCATGCACACACACCTACTGTCACTCTTGACCTGAGTTAAATGCTGCTTATATTATATAGTGTAATACTATAAAACCACCATCTGTATCCACCTAATGTCACTCCTGACCTGTGTTAATGCTGCTTATGTTATAGTATGCTTGAATTTACCAAAGTTGGTAATACATAGTTTTGCTTGGTTATACCAGGGGAGATGTGGGCATTTTAGTCTTTATCAAGATATACCACTGTTCTAGCAAATATTTTTGGCTGAGCTTCATCAGGGAATATTGAACTTACTAATGGGTTCCTAAACTGAGAGCATCAGGATATATGATGTGAAAAGGGTGTAACAATCAAATATTACAGGCACATTAATTTTATGTTGCATTCAGTTCAAAGCTTTGGTTTTGGTGTTTTCATATAACGATAACTATTTGTATTTCACAGTAATGATGCTGCACAATCTGATGACGAGGACAAAATGCAGGCACAGCAAGCTGACACTGATGGAGGAAGGTTGAAGCAAAAAACGTAAGATATTCAGCCTTTCAGTAGATTTTATATTAACTACTATAATACCTTTAAGTAAAAACGTTTTGCTTTTATTTAATGATCTTCACTGTTTCTCCGGTCTCAAATGACTCTGTCTTTCCTGTTTAAAAATAGCTTCTAAACCTGGTTCTGACATAATTAAGTTCACTATTGCATATTTAAAATAGCACTTAATTAAGTGACCCATGCTAATGAGCTAAGCAACTCTGAAGCAATATTCTTTGTTTTTCCTTTACATTTTAAATCCGTAATGTTCTTGAGTCACAGATTGCAACTGTAACATCATCCATTGGTCAGTTCAGGTACTGAAAAGCTATTCTTGCTTTTTAAGGACTCAGCTGAAAAAGTTCTTGGGCAAATCAGTGAAAAGGGCAAAACATCTTGCTGAAGAATATGGTGAACGTGCTGTAAATAAAGTTAAAAGTGTCCGAGATGAAGGTCAGTGAAATGTGTCTGTGCTCGCTTGCATGCTCTCTTGCTCCCCCCTCATGGTCTTGTTGAGTCCATGGGGAACCAAAGCTGTACAGTGGAACAGGGATCTTCCTTTTGAGATTAAAAATGAATTATGCCATCACCATATAACTTTAACATAATGTGGGTTCTTGGAGTTGAGGCTTCCATTACTGTCTTGTATGCAGCTTTATGGAAAACTATTTCAAGGATGGCCTCACTGGTTGTTTCCCTCCTTGTCTTATTGCTGTTCCTTGCCTCCTAAAACAGCAAAAAAGGCTGCCAGGTAGATGGAGAGGGCTAAAGTAAAAAAAAAAAAAAATGTTGCCGCTAACATAGGCACCATGGCCTATGTAGATCTATAGGCAACGTTGGGGTTTATACTCTAAAAACATAATGATGTTTGGACACACAGGATTATACATCTTTAATAAATAATCACTAGTTCTTAGTCTTTATGCCTGTCATTCAACCAGGAGCCTTGTCCACCCTGGAGATGGCATCAAGCACTCACGGGTTTCAGACTTCTCCCATGTAATCTCTCGTGAGGGAGAAAATTAGTTGGTGGCTTTTATCTGATCCACCTGAGTGCCCTAACTTTTCACTTTCCTGTTGCCACTGAAACTTTGGAAACCAATTCCAGCCAGAACAGTAATGAGGATGTTGTGCAAACAGCACACAGTTCTGGTGCCCACAAAAGCATGTTCTTTTCTTCTTGAATTATAGATATTTTTTCCATAGTGCTTGTGACCATTATATTTTTAATGGCATTGAACTGTCATTGGAAGGCTCCTGTATCCTTCGATGGGGCTGTTTAATCTTTCCTTGTTTTGTTCCCTTGTTTTTGTCTGTGTTCTTCCTTTCAAATTAGACTTAAGCCTGTTGATGCAGTAAGAATCTTACTCGGTTCGGAAAATTTCTTTAGTGAAAAGAAAATCACTACCAATTCAAGAGCAAAATGATAGGCCCTTTCAAGAAAATTAGTGACAAATGCACTGTGGGGATGAAGTGACTTGTCTAATGCCTACTTAAATTTCTCTCTACTTAGTTTTCCATACTGATCAAGATGATCCCTCTTCAAGTGATGATGAAGGAATGCCATACACTAGACCTGTTAAATTCAAAGCAGCACATGGCTTCAAGGGTCCTTACGATTTTGAACAAATAAAAGTAGTTCAGGATCTCAGTGGGGAACATATGGTAAGCATATCGCTTTCACTTCATTTGCTGAGCCTGGCCAGCTTGAAATCCAAGAGGGTCTTCAGAGTTTCTTCCTACTGGGTCATTCCAATGCACTTCAGATCCTCTCCTCTGTGGGCAAGAGCCTGCAAATGGAACAGCCAGGCCTTGTTCCTGCACCCATGAGGAACCGCTGGTAGGATATATGTTTCCCTCTGGTTGGGAAAACAGTAAGCTGTGCTCTGCAGCTCAGACTTCAGTGCTTTCCTGGGAACTGCAGGAGAGCCCAGAATGTGACCCAAGATTCCTGAGTCTCGTGGTTCTTCCACTGTCAGTAAATACATGAAAGATACTGTCAAGATGTTGCCTTCCTTTTAGTGATGGTCCATGCAGGAGATGACGGCCTACCGCTGATTCATCTGCTCTCTTAGTTGAAGTGTCAAAGATCTTTGCTTTTAATCCTGCTGCTTATCCATCTCGGTATCAGTATGATGAGCAGCTAGCTATTCTGTATTTTGAGTCATCTCATGTCTGTTCAGTACGTAAGCCTTGCTCTGAAGGTAGAATTAATTTTCCCACCAGGCTCATCACTGGGAGTGCTTCATAAATAGCAGCTGAGTTTGCAACATTCACGTAATGGGCAGTGATGTGTGTGTTTTACAGGTGGGGAGCTGAGCTGCACAGAGGAAATCCTGCTACTAGAATCTTAATTTTGGCTGCCCAGTCTGGGACACCCAGGACTTGATTTTTCAGGGTCTTTAGCAGTTCCTATATTAAGGCACAGCTCCAGTTGACTTCAGCAACAGCTGTGAATGCTCACCCCTTTTGTGAATCAAATCTCTGGATGTCTAGTCAGGCATGCAAGAAAAAGAGGAGTACAGTTAATGAGTGCTGTGAATTAATATAGCATAGGAAATTAATGGCAGCGTTTAGCTGCCTTTACTAGGGGGCCCTCCTTTCTCTTCATGCAATCCCATGTCTCCCTCACTGTACACCTTTGTTTTTTCAAAAGCAAATGAAGCCTGGAGCCTACAAACAACTTCCTTCACTAAACAGTTCGAATTCATCTTCAGAGCCAGTCCATCCCTGTGCTGTGCATAATCACATAATTAGTAACCATATCATAATGCGTACTCATAAAGGGACTAAATTAAGCTTGTCCAGGAACCTTCATCCTGGCATTTCTTAACTCCTGGGTGATGGATTTTATATGCTTAATAGAACGTACCCTTGGGTATGTGCACCAGTTAGTTTTCTAGTAATGCACGTGGCATGGCAAAAGGCACTTGGCAGTTGATGAGCTTTGTTTGTGTGTGTTCTATTTTGACAGGGTGCTGTTTGGACAATGAAATTTTCTCACTGTGGCCGATTACTTGCATCGGGAGGGCAGGATAATGTAGTGAGAATATGGGTTTTAAAAAACGCTTTTGATTATTTCAACAACATGCGAATGAAATACAATACAGAAGGTATTTCTTTCTTTCTTTTTTTTCATTTGCATTTCAAGAACACTTGCGATTCTAGGCATAACTTTTTCTTAGTTTAAAAAGAAAAGTCCTGCTTAACGAATTTTTAAACTTGTTACATTTTCTTGTGATTTAGGTCGTGTGTCCCCCTCTCCATCCCAAGAGAGCCTGAATTCTTCAAAGTCTGATACTGATGCAGGGGTACGTGCATCTGATAGGATAAGACTTCTTTTGTATTGCTCCGTATTTCTTTAACGTGCCCCAGTTCTGGGGGAATTTAAAGTCTGAAGGCACAGTTCTGCAGTTTGGTCCTTGCATTGTCTTCAGTGAAAGTTTCCACTTAGTAAGAACACAGGTTTTTATAAGGTCTTCTGAGAGAGACAAATAGAACATTTATTGATGTCCTCAGAAACTAGGATCTGAATGAAAATGTTTAGGCTGCATACACCGTTAATAAAGGCAAGAAATAAATTTGAGTTAATTTGATAAGTTGCTGTTACATCTTCATTTTGATATTCTACTAATTAAAGATAATTTCCCAGTGGGAGTTGGAGCTGAATGGTTAAGATAATTGAATAACTGTTTGAAATCCTGGCCTGGTGATTTTGCAGTGGTTGGATTTTCTAAATGAAGCAGATAAACAAAAAGAGCATAAGACAAATTTTAGAAATGGTGTGCCTGTGTTTTGTGTGTGTGTGTGTGTGTATTGTTCCCTTTATTTATAGATTGATATAAATTGACTACTGCCTACCTAATCGGAGAACTGAATGACGTGTGTGTGTGTGTAAAAAAATAAAAATACTAGTGGAGGGACCCATTCTTCGCCCAGGTCGTTATTTTTCTAATTGAAGTGTTTGTTTATTTTCAAAGAACTTAGTACAACATATTTAATATTTAATGTGGAGCGATATTTCAAATGACATCCAAATGAACGATCTTTATTGTAGAACTTCCTTGTAAACCGTGTTCATGGCGTTTCCTGTTGGTGCCAGTATATACAACCCCTTCGACAACCAACTCTGGAGCAAGCCACATATAGCTGTCTGTGTGAAAAGCATTGTTCCCTTAAATCGTCACTGGAAGCCCCAAAAAGGGTCAAGTGAAAAATAACCTGGCTGTAATTTTCTTTGGGCAGTATTCAGTGACTTTGCAAAGTTTAGAGTAGATATAACTGAAGAATGGCTGGTCCTAAGTGAACAGACATGCACTTCATTTTATAGATATGTAGATAGATTTATGTTTCGCATATAACAGTGTTTTTAGCCTATGGGAATCAGTCAAGAACATGAATTGTCATTACAGTCCTTACAGTTGAAAACTGTAATCTTTTACCAGTGGTTAACTATGCTGTAGTTGCCAGAAACCTATAGTGTAGTGTGTTTTATTTAGTCCGTACCAGTGTGGTAAACCACCTAAATGGTAAAGTTGATATCTTTTTGTTTTTCCCCCTTCCCTGAACAGTGTTTATTTTTCTTCTTGCATTAACGTATCCTTAAAGGGTCATCTAGCTCTGAAGTGCTATTCCCAAAATGCAGTTAAAGTTTGTGTGTATGTATGTGTTTTCCCCCCTAAATGAGGGGACTGTCAAGGCCAGTAACATTTATTAAAACCATAACTCGCAAATGCAGACCCCAGTCACCTTTAGAAGCGTGCTTGATTAGTGGCAGCTTATACTGCTGTAATGTAAGGCACTGCATTGTTCAACACTGCAATACTTTAGTATGAAATTGGTGTGTGGCAGCCCTCTGTGCTTTAAGAATGGTGTCGCTGTAACCGTGCCTCTGCGTGTAGCACCATATGACTTATTTTGAAGTGGTGTTCAGCCATCCGAGATGAATCTTTCTTATGTAGTAGTTGATACTAGGATCTTGTTCCTGCTTTCAGAGGTGGAGGCACTACTGCAATATGCTGTAACCAGCTGCCAGCCTGTTGTTATGTGTCTTGTAGTTTTTCTGTGCTGTTAATCCGTGTGGTATGTTGATCTGTAGGTTTGCAGCGGAACTGATGAAGATCCCGATGATAAAAATGCACCCTTTAGGCAGCGGCCGTTTTGCAAATACAAAGGACATACAGCAGATCTACTGGATCTCTCGTGGTCTAAGGTAAGACACCTTTCATGCAGACTGCACAGCTTTTCCACTCCCCATATTTTGCTCTATTGCCTTGCTTCCACGCATCTTACACTGGCCCTTATATATCTAAGCAAAGCAGTGGATTTCTGCTCAATAGACACAGGCATAGACTGTCCAAAAACTGGCAAAAACCTAAGTGGGGTGGTTTCCACTTATCATAGGTGGAACGTAGAGCGTAAGAACATGCATGTCATTCTCATCTCCCTGCAGCTTTTTGCTCCTGCAGTAGCCTTCTTTAAACTTGAGTGCGAGAGGCACAAATTTCCACTGTGTCACTGGGGACAGTTGGACTGTGCTGGCTTGCTTACTCTTACTGAAGTTCTGGTCAGGATGCTTATGCATTCAAAGGTAGCCCGTCTCTGGGTATTGTTTCTATGGCTAAATGTAACCGTAGACCAACGGCCAGACTAGTCGTCTGCAGAGAATAATTTTAGTGGAAATAAAGCAGAACCCCGTTAAATGTCACGTTACAGCTCAGTCTGCGGTGGCATGAAGCAGAGTCCATTTGTTTCACATATTTCCCATGGGAATGTGACGACCTGCTGCTAACTGCAGTTTTAGATCCTCTAAAAATGTTTTGCTTTCCCATAAACTTTGTTAACAAAAATCAACACAACTGAAAACTTGGTCTTATCAGTTCATGTCATGCCCTTCCCAGTAGAGTTCAGGCTGCTCAGAGAGGAGGCTGGGATGGTTGGTACTGGTTATTTGAGGCTTATCTCCATGTGAGCTGGGCAAAACACTTTTGTCACTATAATACAAGTTTGGCTCAACCAAAACCACTCCTTTATGCCAAATCCTAGCTTCAGCTAAACATGTTTAACCTCCCCCCAACAGTTGAAATGTTTTGAGCATTTTGAAGCAACGTTTTAATTACTCCTTTTGAAATACTTAGTGTTGATATTTCCTAGAGTTAATTGAAAGAAAGCTAAACTTTTTAAAACACAGTATTTTGTTGTGAACTTTTTTATTTTGGGGGAGTTCAGCCATTAAAAGAAAACCATTATTCTCATAGCTTTAGGCATACTCTAAGCCTTGTTTTAGGCGCACATGTTTAAATGGTTAAGCTAGATAGTGCAAACCACGCTGACCTTGTGTCCATGAATGCGTTGTTGCAGTGGCCCTACTAGTTGTGTTGGTGCTCAGCCATTTAAGCACAGTTCACTTAAGGTTGAAAATGGAAAACTCCTGTTGGATTCTACAGAAGCAACTGAGGAGACAAAAATACAGAAATGAAAGATTTTAATTTGCTTTTATCCATTCAACCATCGTTATTTCTGAGAGCCATTGGTTGAAAAATGGAGTCTTTATTAAAATCAAAGAAATGTATGTTTTCAGTTCTTAGTACAGAACATGTAACACAGAACCAGGATTGAACAAAATTCTCAGGTGAAAGAAATGCCTTAAATAGTGCTTTGTGAAATAACTGGAAAAGACTCTGAATTTGGGGTGGGAGGGAAAAGGAATTTCTGTTAATCTAGCCTGTGGTTTCCAGTTCATAACGGCACTGCTATTTTTGTCTTCAGGACATTCCACATGTGCTTTTAAAGCTGCTTCTCTGCTGTTCAATAAAATAAGAGAGTCACACTACACTAAGTTCTGTATCATGGAGGTTTTTTTTAAAGGAAAGCTTATAATTGCATTTTCTGTGCTGAACTACCAGGGCCACAGTAACTTGGTTGGATGAAAATAGCATTTTTATTTTAAAGTCCTAGGACCTAGATAGTGTAGGGAGAAATAATTGAATGATTTGAATTCCTTCGCAGCCTCACTTGGTATCATGTTAGTCCAAAGTATGAAATATAAGAAGAGAAAAAATCTTAGAAACCCAGTTTCAGGAAAAGAATGTGGCAGGGCTTTTGTTTTTAAAAACCACAGGCAGCACTTCTTTAGAAGGCTCTGGGAATATCTGAAGTACTGACAGTGTAAAGAGGATTTTTCTGTCTTAATTCTTTCTTTCTCAGGATGTCTCCTTGGAAGGAGCAGTATGTTTAGGCAGGATTAAGCTGTTCCTTTTCTGCAACGTCAACTTTGCAGCTAGCTGTGGGGGAGATAATTTTGGTGTCATAAATCAGGAATGTTCCTCAACTTCAAGTGGGATCTATGCAGGAATTAGGCTAACTTTCCAAGATTGCCATCCCAATTTCTCTAGTCACTGGGGAAAAAAATTAAATTAAAAAGTGCGACTGATTTTAAAAATGGAGGAAATGCTGTTAGGATCCAGAACAGTAACATTTCTATTCATAGTTCTCTCAGCTAGTTCCACCATTTAGTAAACTGGGTGTGACAGCTAATAACTGTGCTTCCAGCAAAAAAAAAAAGGAATTGCATTTAACACTGGTCAGCCTCTAGTATTTAGTCAGTGTTCACTTCTTCATCATTGTTAAATTTTTGCTGGGATGCTAGGACCTGGAAATGTATGAGAACTGACCACGAAGTGCTAGATACCAAATTGTGTTTGTGCGTGGTACCTATAACCAGCCTGTGAGTGATCTCCTTACAATGTCTTCCACAGAATTACTTCTTGCTCTCCTCTTCCATGGACAAAACAGTCAGATTATGGCACATCTCCAGAAGAGAGTGTCTCTGCTGCTTCCAGCACATAGACTTTGTCACTGCGATAGCTTTCCATCCAAGGGTAAGTAGCCATCTTTTGTTGTTGTTTGAATAGAGGGAAGATTTTGGAAGGGCACTCGGGCACCTCCTGTTTGCTGTCAGATTTAAAACCTGACACTAGAAATTGGATACCTGAATGTCTTCTGTGCCCATAGAAAATATCCCTCCTAGACCAGAGTCCTGCATTGCAATCATTGTTAAGCCCTGGTCCCCACAGAGTGTGGCTGTGACTGGCTGACATGCTGCGTAACGTATTACTGCCTTTATACTGACTGCAGAGTTTTGGTCTGTGTTGCAATAGCCAACTTGATTAAACATGGTTCTTCACCATGTTAAAACTTCCGGTTTTAAGTGAACTGTTAGACTGTATTTTAGGCCGTGCACCTCCTATTCCTGTGTACTCTGTTAGGATGATCGGTACTTCTTAAGTGGCTCGCTGGATGGGAAACTCCGACTTTGGAACATTCCTGACAAAAAAGTAGCATTATGGAACGAAGTGGATGGGCAGACAAAATTAATCACGGCTGCAAACTTCTGTCAGAACGGCAAATACGCAGTGATTGGCACATACGACGGTAGATGCATCTTCTACGACACGGAGGTAAAATGTTCTGTTTTGGAATTGAGTTAGACTTGGACTGCGCATTACGTTTATGGAAAGGACAGCCACTTTCACTCCTACATGATGGTTTTTGTAGGAATTAAAGGAGACTTTACATTAAGTCATTTACCTTTGTCACAGAAATACCAGTTTTTAAATCATGTTCCTTGAGTGTGGTGATAGCTGGCACTTAAAACCATTAAGGATCATTTTAATTTCTCTTTTAGCACTTGAAGTACCACACGCAGATACATGTGCGTTCTACCAGAGGGCGGAACAGAGTTGGAAGAAAAATTACCGGGATTGAACCCTTGCCTGGAGAAAATAAGGTACCAATACAGTACACTTCAAAGGCCACCTGTGCTCTCACTGACCCCTGACATTGAGTATTGCTGCAGCATAATCCCCTGTGGCAACAGGATTCAGATTGCAGCAGAGAGGAAAATGCCATTTTTAATAGCACGTACCACATAATAATAAATATTGTAGGAATCGAGAATGATTGGATGCTGATGAGTTCCTTAGGAAACGCTTATTTTGTCTTTGGAAGAACTAGTTATTTGGAAAGTCGTCTGATGGCACATGTGACTCGAGCAGTAGGTTAATCGTGACTCATAAGCTGCAGTTTTGTAGTCAGAAATGCGGCCATTTCCATAATGAGTCTCCTGGTGCAGTGTAAGGGACAAGTGCCTAAAATCAGAACTGATTTAAAGGGGTCAAATTATTTTGGCTCAAAGAATGTGCTCTTAAATACTGTGCTACAGAATAATGGGCTAAGGACAAGGAGAACTTGTCTTGTAACGTTTCTGCTGTATCGGCACTGTGGTGCTTTTGCTGAATCAACATCTAACTCTGTCATAACTAATGTTGCACCAGCTGCCGTTACTTGCATGTCCTGTAATCCGGTCCGGTGGTTCTCAGACTTTGTAGGCTTGAGGCACCCTCAGAAAACGCCTGCCCTTTTTTGACTAGTCAGAAAAAGACTCGGGTAATTTTTCTGTTGCAAAGAACTCAGGAAGACCCCAGCAGGTCTGAGTGCTTTTGACACTATGGATTCCTGTGTGAAATCTCTGGGCCTATTTTGTGAATCACGTTTGCGCACCTAACAGTGATGACATTGTGTGGCACCCTTGAAAGGCTCTCAAAGCACCCCAGGGTGCAGTGGCACCCTGATTGCAATTCACTCACTTAACCCAATGCATTAGGTATTGTTGACTTAGGTTTCGGTCATCAAATGCTGTGCTTCTGCCAGTGTAACTCACACTGGGCAGCAGCTCCTAATAAAAAACAAAACGGTGGGGCATTGCCCAGATGCAGAAAAACCCCTCAGCCAGTTAGAGGTGACGTGCTCATTGGGAGCTTTCTAAACTTTACTTCTTGGCTCTAGCAAGAATTCTCTTTCTTAGCAGCTGAAAGACGCGCTGCGTAGCACCTGTCACAAGAGGAATGTTTTTAAATGGCAGCTGACCCGCGGGTGCTCTGGAACCAGAGCCTGTTGGCAAGAAGCCACGCCAGCCTGGTTCCAGTTGTTGTCAGGTACTTGGCTACCTGGTTTGCCTGCACTTTGTAATGCACCCAAGGAATGCAGTAGCAGATACTGGCACGCTAGCTACCCTACACACCTGGTTCCACTTCCAGCGTGCTGTGAAGGCGCGAGTCAACTCGATTCTTCCTTGCCCTGTCTTGAGTTGTTGCTTTCCCCCATACCTTTTCCCGGCTTCCCTGTTTAAATTGTGTGCTTAATTCCTGATCCTGAAGAGCATGAACGGGGAGCTACAAAAACCCTCTCTGACCAAGTAAAATATCATTTGCTTATGTGATTGATAGTTTGCCAGTCTTTATGAGGTCACTCCTGTTCCCCAGCTGTGCCCCGTGAATGGCATACCAGCTCTCTCCTGATGGATCATCATCACAGGACAGGACTTGGCACTTACGGCTGTAGAGCCAGGAGAGTCCATTAAGAACAGGGTGTTTGCTACAGTTGTGTGAGTCGCTTTGCCCGTCATAACGAAACATTCGGTTCCAGCTGTGAGGACTGGTAGAGGCTGGGGTTTGTTGTAAACAAGAGTTGGTTGTAACGACTTCGTAATCTCTGTCGTGTCTGTCTCCTCACCTAGACTGAAAATGCAGAACTGTTAGAAGTGATGCCTCTTGTTCCAGTTGCTCTGGGCTGAGTTTTGTGATAGGCCAAGTGCAAGTGGCAAGCTCTCCAAGAGCCGAGAAAGACTTCTGCTTCATAGCTTGTCTGAGCTCTGACCGTGTCTCAGCCGAGTTGTTAACCCTAAGGGTTGGGTTTAGCATAACTGATTTGTCGTTTATAATTAGAAAGCAGGTTTTTACACCTCCTTTAATGTGTTTACACCTCATTTCCCTTCCAGATACTAGTGACCTCAAATGATTCCAGGATCAGACTCTACGATTTAAGAGATTTGTCCTTATCCATGAAATACAAAGGTTACGTCAACAGCAGCAGCCAAATCAAAGCCAGTTTCAGGTACTCTCTCTTCCTTTTAGTGCTATACTTTAGGCCAAGCCGGTGACAGAGCCCGTTCTTGAGAAAAGGGGCAGTCTCGGGTCTGTGCTCAACTCGAAAGCTACTCTGGCGTCCATTCTTGTCTCGTGCTCAGCTGCTCGAGAAGGAGTGTAGCAAAACTCCACATCTTGGTTGCCAGCCGCCATTCTGCAGTCAGCTGCTGGAGAGCTGATGGTGAGTGGGGATGACCAGAGCTGGGACATTCCTGCGTACAAGCCTGTAGACTACGCTCCGGACGTTTAAATAGCAAACCTATTTCAAGTCCCAGGACCAGCAGGATTGCCCCAGAAGCACTCCGACTGGGGACTGCATAGGCTACCTTGACACGGCCTGTTTTGCATATGCATTACCTGTCATCTGCCACTTGCTGTTTCTTCAAAGCCTGTAGTTCTTGCAGCTTTTCATACCCGCGTCGTGTGCTTCTAGGTCCCATGTCAAAACCGACTGTAAAATGCGCACCTTTATCACTGCACGCCTCCCTAGATCCTCATTTCAGGTTGTCGGCAGCACAGAAAAGCACTTGTTTTTTGCACGAGTCGCTTACTTGCAGTTTGTGGGGGGGTTCCTAGTAAACTCGGAGAATGGGCTCTATACTATTGGCAGCGGCAGGAGTGCAACTTCTCTGCAACATCACCAAGCTGGGTTTCTGCAGCTGCCGTTGTCAGTTGTTGGGGGCACACCTTTTCGAAAGGGGTGGCAAGACCTGTGCGTGCACACTACACGAATGGGCTGGTGGTTGTGTTAGACCCGGGCTTCCCACTGTATCAGGCAATTGTGCTGCCACGTGAAGCCCTGGGGCGACTCTGTCACTTTTTTCCACGATTGCTGACGTGCGTTCCTTGCTGCTCTGTTGCCCGAGTTCTTTTTTAGATTCGGACGCAGTCGTTACATCTCTCCAGTAACTAATGTGTATGTGGTGTTGGGGGTTGTTTTTTTTCATTAACAGTTCTTCTCAGGGTATCAGAATCATCTCTGATTTCTGTACTTAATATGCTGACCAGCAGGGCGTGCTTTTTTCTGCGCTTCCATGTCCCTTTAAGAAAAGCGATGCTGTGCTGGGAAGTTGGCTAAAAACTAAGGTAGAATTAATTCTCCCCTTGTATTTCTAGCCACGATTTCACCTACATTGTAAGTGGCTCAGAAGATAAATATGTTTATATCTGGAGCACGTATCATGACTTAAGCAAGTTTACTTCAGTCAGAAGAGACCGTAATGACTTCTGGGAAGGCATCAAAGGTAAAATCCGCTTTCTTGATCTCGGTGTATTTTTTGGTTTTGCCTAAGCTTCTACACTCTTAGGGGTTGAATGTTTTTAATCCCTTTTGGCCTTTTATTTTTGCCAGCAGTAATTAAACTGTGGGGAATTGCACATATTGATTAACAGATCTAGAAACAAGCTATACGACATCACTAGTATCTTTTGAGCCTTGCTTATGTCATGACACTTTCTCCCTTGAAAAGTCTTTAGAATATTTGACTCGGTGCCGCTGAATAAGTAGGATGGCAAGAAACGGTTAAAGTTTTCAGATAAAGTGGGGCCAGACCAGCTGAAGCTCGGCTTTGGGCTAGGCTTCTGGGGGCACTGCCATCGTTCAGTTGAGTTGGCAGATGCATTCGCTCCATTGCAGCAATGTAAAATCCTCCAAATGCTTTAAAAAAGAACAGCCAATATCTCAAATTAATTTTCTGTTAATTGTATGGAGTTAAGTTGACTCTGAGAATGAAATGAGCTGCTTAAACTTGCAGATTGGTCACTTTATTTCTCTTTTTTAAAGAAATAAGACCATGAGAGAGCCCTCCCTACTCCTCCAGGCTTTTGGGCAGCAGGAGCTCTGCAGTAAAGGGCATTTGTATGCGTTTCCCTGCCCGGGCGGTCACTTTTTATTTCCTAGCTGCGGGAGTGGGTGCCTGCAGGGGTCTTGTATTGACACCTGCTGTCACTGATAAGATGACTCGAGTACTGCCCTCCATGCTGATGCCCTGAAAGCACAGGGAATGTGTTGGCTCATGTTGCCTTGAGCTGCCTGGACACCGTGAAACTCTTGGGGGTGCGCTGTATTTTAGAGAACCGGTATTTCTCAAAATGAAATTAATTCAATACGAAGTGGACTTCCTCTCTTTCTTTAGCTCACAACGCAGTCGTCACATCAGCAATTTTTGCTCCTAACCCCAGTTTGATGGTATTGCTGGAAACTTCGGAAAAACAAGAAGCTGAAAGTACGGGAGATGATCCTGAAACGTCTGACACCATCCCGTCTGGTAAGGCGCTGCGTGGGGCTGTGGAAGTGCCGCTTGAGGGCAAAGCTTGTTCATCCCAGGGCTGCAGAGCTTTCTAACGGCAGAAGAGAGCAGATGGCTGAAAACTTCCAGCTCGTAGGCCCCCCGGTCGTTCTTAAATGTGCAAACAAAAGCAGTTCTTTGGACTCTGAGGGGCCTGCCGTTGAAGCACGTCTCTTCCATCTCCCCTCCCCACTGGGATACGTGCTGTATAAATGTATCATTAATGAAATGTCCCTGGCCCAAGGAACACGTATGATTTTGGCATGTGACCAGTGGCAACCACTGGATAATATGCAAGGGGGTAATTACGGCGCATCATCTAGATGGCGATGCAGACCGCGCCTTCTATTCATACCACTCGTTCTCTTTTTAATAAGCAGTTTTCTGTGCAACTGAACCAGCCTTTCCTTCCTTTTCCCCTCGTTCAGGTGCTTTGAAGACGGATCACACAGAAGTGCTTCTATCAGCTGACTTCACTGGAGCAATCAAAGTCTTCATTAACAGGAAGAAAAATGTATCTTAATTATTTATTACTGACAGCATTCAAGTATGGTACCCTGAGGAAAATTCCATAGGTGATGTGGATGGAAGCAAAGTATCTATAACAATGTCACTTGCTGATTTATTTTTAAATCTTTATTTTAAAGCTACTCAGTTATTGGACCTCTTGGAAACCAGTGTTGACCTATTAACACCTGGGCTTGTAGAATAGAAAGGAATGTGTAAGAATAACCTTGCCCAACAATAGGCTCTACATTTTCTAAATACTGTCGTTTTGCTAAATGATCGTGAACATGCACAGGTTTCTGCACGAAAATATATTAACATTCACACGTGTGTGTGCCTTTTTGGTTACATGCACTACCTGGAACGTCGATTATCAAGAGGCAGATTAGTGGTGCTTGTGGCGCCTGGACAGTGGGGAGAAGGGGATAATAAAGACATGATCTAGCTTCAAACGAAAATGCAGTCTCTTTGCACAAAATTCCATTTCTAAGGAAAGTGATATATTTTGGAGTTGTGGTAGTTATTGCTCAGACTATTTAAGTTATGCAAGTTTCTGATGGATCAGCGACCACGTGTAAACATTTTTATAAATTTCTCAACTTCAGGACATGAATTTTTGTTGTCTTTTAATTGTTGTGAACTCCCGATTCCTGCCTTTATATGTGTTGTTTTGTTTTGGTTTTGGGCTTTTTGCACACTTGAGCACAATTTCTATGTAAAGAATTCTGTCTCATTCCTGATCTGTGGGCACCAGGCTACGTTCACCGAGGTGGGGGGAAAGATGAAGCTGCATTAGAAACAATTCTTATATTTTACAACGATGTAAAATAAACTGTTTACATTTTTTTAAACATTGTAGTTTAAAATGTTTTAAGTTGTCTTTTTGTTTAGAGCTACTGAATTTGAACGTCTTTGTAAATATTCATATAACGTACCTATGAAATAACGTTCTGGGCAACAGAGCCCATGAAATGTTATTGATGGTCAAGGATGTATCATTAAAATAGGTCACAAACACTTGGAAAAGGCTGTTTTGGGTTCTTTCTGTCTCTCTGCAGTGTCTGCCTAGCTCAGAGCCGTCCTTCTGCTTTCACTCGTTTACTTTTCCTTTCTCCCCCGTCTTTCGCTCGCTAACTCTTATGGCATTTTTTCCTTCAAAAAGAAAATTTTAAATAGCAGGGGACTGAAGTGGACATTGCGTGGAAACAAGCTGAAGGGTTATTGTGCGACTCCATGTGACCAATATCTGAACAGGATTCAACATCTTTTATGAGAGCATAGGGAGAGAAACGGGAAGAAAAATATGCCCAATATTGTTCTCATCCTGTCTTTGTGCCACTGTAGCAGCGTGATGAATACGAGCATAGTTTGAGTGTGAAGTTAATATTGGAAGAAGCATCTTAAACAAGCAAGCACTTGGGAAAGGTCATTGGTAGAAACAGTTGGGTTTTTTATTTACTGAATTGTCTGCTGAATACAGATAATGGGAGCGGCACGCTCTGGAAAGCCCATCGATTACACAATGCGTTCTCGTTGGGGAGACGCATGACTCATTGGTTTGGAAACCAGTACTCATGCAGTTTAGACAGTCTGAAAGCTGACTTCACTTAGTGAAGTTGTTATGGGGAGGTGGCTGCTGGTCTTCTCTGCCAGGGTTAGAAGTTGAGAATCCATAGCACGTGAAGGCAATCTGTGTTAATTCGTAAAATGAAACGAAGAGGCCCTGTATGAAAAGGATGAACACGCACCGCTCTGTTCAGTGCTTAATTTTACTTCCTGGATGGAGACATTTAAACCTGCTCCTGGCTGGCAGCTCTACTAGGTTGCTCCCCCGACTCGCAGCCTGGGTGTACTTGGTGGTATACTGGACGTAGCACTTTTCACGTGGCGCTCCCTACCTCTGTTGTGCTCTGGGATGTTGGGGGATTCTGACCGTTTTTCATTCTTCCCTACCGGTCGGTCAGTTGGTGTCCATCTCTCTCTCTCTGCCTGGGCTCCCCCTGGGATGCGCGGGTGAAAAAGCATCTAACCTGTGTCATCCCAAGAAGCCAGTCTGCTAAGAGCTGCATGTGAGGCTAGACCTGCTGCCTGACCTGGAGCTGGAAGGGGCAAAGGACGCATGGTTTGTGACCCTTGCCAGATTCAAAGCCTGAGAGAGGCAGCGTGAGTCTTTAAACTCATTTGGTGAGCGCCCCACATCAGAAGCTTGGGCATCCAGGACCCGGAGATGCCCAGAGAGGTGAGCCTGGCTTGGTGGGGCAGAAAGTCAGCAGGGACTAAATACTGGACTAAATGCTTAATTTACCACTTACGAATGCGGCCCCGGTGCCTGTGTGGTGGCTCCAGGGAACAGGCCGCCCGAGTGCTGCTGTACAGGAAAGTCACATGGGACATTTCCTCTTGATCATGGCAGCTGAAAGGAGTGAATAGAAATGCTCCGGCTTCCTCTCGCAGAGAGAATCGATAGCAAAAACGAAGGGAGCTGGTCCTAAAGCATCAATGGGGGTGGTGGTGTTGAAATGGTGCTTGGTGCTGGGTGCGTTTCCCTGGCGCTGGTGAGATCCCACCCGACACACGGGACCGTTGCACTGATGCAGTCTTCAGAAGCTTGCCCGTGCTCTTCTGCTTTAGCTTTCCATCGGCTGGACCCCCTCCCCGTGGACCCGCTCACTTGGGCAGCTTCACCTGCGGTTCCAGCAAAAACAGGTTTGAAGCAGACCCTGCTTATTGCAGCTGTGCAGGTAGGTTAAAAACTGGAGGTGACCCATGCTGTACCTCAATGGTACCTTTCCCCTGATAATACTCGTGATGAGCACTGACCGTCAGCCAGGTCACACCTGTTTTGTTTAGTTTTGTTTTAATTGGTTTTACTGTCTGGCCCGAGAGATGACAGTGTTTTCTACGCGGCCTCTCAGCTCTCTTAAAGAGCTGGTGGATATCTAATATTAGTGAGTTGTGGTCACAATCGCACGTAACCTGCTTGACATCAGAACAATCAAGGCGTTGTTTCTCTCTAGCGGCTGCAAGCTCTGCTAATTGTGCGTGCGCTTCATGACCCGCGAAGTCCAGTGTCTTGAGCATTGATGGGTATTGTTGTCTGGCATTAAGCGAAACTTGCTTGAGAAGAGTGCAAGACCTATTTGAAACGTGTGCCCCGAACAGGTTTGGGGTTAGCATTCATGTCTGATCTCAGCCCGCAGCGGGTCGGCGTTTTGCGTCTTCAGCTCCCACGGCTTCTGCTGTCGAGTGTTTGTTACCAGTAGTTTGAATGGTGTGGAGATCAGCGCGCCAAAAACCCACAACCTGCTCCCACCCAGCGGTGCCCAAAGGCAATTCATGTTAATGCAAGTACTCATTGCCTCTTCCTTTTTCTACCCTTCTCTCCTGGCTCCCCCTATTCTAACTTGTTGCATCTTATCCTAAAGTGCAAGGCCTTCTGGCTGAGCCCATCCTATTTGTGCAACAGGGCCCTGATCCTAATGTGGCTTGTACAACGAACCGCGCGTTTACTCTACCACGGGGCTGTGGTTTTGTGCACTGCACGCTCTACCAGGTGCCCCTGTACCATGGAGCCACCTGCGTTCCCAGTAGGTCAGACACCAACTCCTGGAGCCTCCTGTGGGAGGAAGACCTGTTTTCCCCTCTGTGGAAACAGAGGTGCTTAAATGAGGCATCTCCTGTCACTCCCAAGATGCTGACTTGTTTCCCTTGGTTCACCAGCAGTACAGCCCCGACGGCAAAACCCCACCTGAAGTGTTAGAGCCCTCTGCCCACCTCCACGAAGCCAAGCAGAATAGCAAGGCATGGATAGGCACGTAACGTAATTCTCGGACACCTCCGTTCTCCCTCGGCTCTGGCGACGCACCGCAGCAAGCACGTGCTGCTGGGGAAGAATCCGTCTGTCACCGAGCCAGCGTGAAAAGGAGCTCTGAGAAGATCTGGGCTCGATGAGCCTTATGCTGCTTTATTCTTCCCGTTGAAGTGACTCGCCACGAGCGGTAGTCGGATGCTGCAGCACGTTACGACAGTGCCGGGGAGACCTGCCAGGACCCCCGCGCGCCAGGCACCGTGCAAACAAAGCCAGAAGGTGCGCTCGGCCCCACACCACTTCAGTCTCAGTACGAGACAGGAGACAAATTGAGGGGTGCTGCGAAACAAAGGTGCTTTCTAACGGCATCTGCTTTTATGAAAGAAACGTGCATGTGCACAAGAACTGGAAGTGTGCGCAGATGAAGATTTGGTTCCCGGGTCTAAGAAATTCAATTCTGTCTGCAGTGGGGTATTTACGCACGCTGTGTGGGAAATCGAGTTGGTCCAGACGTTAAGCAAGGTGATTTGTCTGTAGAGCACTGCTCTACAGTGCCCTGGTGCTGCTGCAGAGGCAGATAACAGCATTCAAATTATTGGCACCCTGCAAGATTTCTAATACCTTACTCCGTTTGTGTTCGTACAAAAACCCAAAGGACTCCCTCGATACTTGGTGGATCCCATCATCTGTACAGACCCCTCGCCAACACCGAATCACACGGCTGCAGCCCCCCAAGTCTCCCCCAGACACGGTAGTCCCAGTCTAAACCACCCCAGCTAAATGTCTGCTGCACCCTGCACTGAGCACGTGTTCAGGGACGGAGAATTCGCAGCCTCCGGATGCAGTCTGTCCCGGTGCTTACCCACCCTGCCTTGGAAAGGTGTTCCTAACGTCCAGCCTCGATTCCCCTGCTGCGTGTAGAGGTACCGTGCAGTAGCAGACAGGAGTATTTCGTTGAGCCCAAGCGTGAACTGTGACCAGACGTGAAGCTCGTTTCCACTAGATGGTGCCAGATGTTTAGACTACTTGGTCCGATTAAAAGCTATCGCAAAAACTCCTTGCCTCTACCAATAGAAAGGCGTAAGATTGATTGTGAAAGCAAGGGGCCAGATTGTTTGCCGGGCAGGGGAAGAATAAGGGCTTTATATTCCTCATACGCCCTTTGGGGGACTTGGAATATATGACTTTTCTGTGGATTCTTGTTGCTATAAACAGTGAGGAGCCCTGACGTATGTATGTCTCTCCAGCAACAATTTCTCCCAAGTGTGGTAAGCTCTCAGATGGAAATATGGGCCCTAGTAATGGTTTGGTAATGATCCCAGGTAGACGGCTGTTGTTCTGGTGGTTTTGGAAAGGTGCGGGGACAACCTCTGTGCACAGAACTGCCTCGTTCCAAACTCTGACTTTCCATTTGGTCTGCTCATGAATTAAACGGGTTTAAGCCATGCTACAACTAAAAGTCCCGCGTACCCCACTGATACACAGGTACTTTTCGACTTACCGAAGCAAAGTGAGAGCTTGAGTCTGCCTAAACCCTTTGCACACCTGCATTTTTCCTTGTGACTTGGTTGCTTCTGTTTTGCAGTCCATCATTGCTTGGTTTTAATCTTGCATTACAGCAGCACCCAAGACCCCAACCAGAGGCGAGACGCCAGATGTGCTGGGCGCCGTCTGTACCAAACGTGACAAGACACCCGGTGAAAAAGAACAATTTTTGCCTCTCGGGGAGAGAAACTATTTTGCAGACAGAAAAACCAAGGCATGACAAAGTGCAGTGGTGTTTGATCTGACAGGAACCGTGTGCCAGGATCGAGGCCCGCGCTAGGCTCCAGGAAGCTGTCCAGTCCTCCCGGCTCTTGATCAGCAGGCACATTCGTTACCGAGGCTAAAGGCAAAGTCTAAAGCCCATTAGTGTCCCAGCAGCAAAGGACTGGCAGGCCTCTTGTAAGGATCTGAGACGAGCTGTTGGCTGCTGCAGTCTTCTGTGCATTCATCACCGTTTGGGGGGAATTGCAGGAGACAGGCTGCCCTACCCGGGCACCTGGAGACATGCCAACAGGACAGCCCGGGGCAGGGTCGCCTTCCTAAGGACAGAGGGTGTGAAGCCAAATAAGTCCCTGGGCATTTCCTTTGCTCTTGCTGCCTGTCTCAGCGCT